TCAACTCTGTACTGTATGGTGCTTAATGTGTTCCCACGGGAGTGGCGTGTTCTTTGTTGACGAGTTCAGTCAAACTTTCGTTCTTGGAACAGTCAAGAAGTTCAACTGGAGCACAAATAGACTTCAAAAAAATAATAAAATATCAATCTGACAGCTCCACGTGATCCAGAATCCTGCTGCCGGAATGCCTGGACCACATCACAGCAGTCCTAACATTATCAAGTAAAGATGACAGGTCAGACAATCGATCCTTGCGGGACTCCACCTGCAGCTTGAAGTGGTTGTGATGCTCGTCGCATTACTATTAGCAGACAGAGAACAGTCTCCATTTCGGTGTCATCCCAACCTAATAAAGCGCCGCCCCGCAGGGTCTGTCTGAGTTAGAAGTCAAATGCTTGTTATCTGCTGCAATTGACAAGCGACAAGCTTCTCAATAATCCCACTAATAAGTGCCAAGGTGGACAAGGGTCTCTCGTGGTTCGATCCCAGTCTGCTTCAGGGGAGAAGCTGTGCTGTTGTCATTAAATTGACTTTAAAAAATAAAAAGGCAGCAAATCAAGGTGTTGCATTGAGACTTGGAGAAGAAATCCAATGGCGGCAAATTGAGTCCTCGTCACCTGAGTGACTCTGACTAGATGTTCGGATGTATTAAATGACATGAATGAATATATGCTGATGCTTTGCCGAGTCTTTCCTTTTTTCTTTTTTCTGCTACAAAAGGAGCAGAGAATTCACTCTGTTGGCCTAATTGAATTAATTTTGGAAGTGCTGATGAATGACTCCATCATCCGCGGCAGACCGTAGTTATTTTCCCCGAGTTAATAATGTGAGGCCCAAATCACTTTCTTGAATTTTCACCACAAATTTAGAAGCTTTGATGTTGGTTGTCTGCTTCCGCTGCGGGGTTTGTCCCATGAAGCATTTGCTTTTTGGCACCTCTTATACATCATTGAGCAATTGCAACCTCATCTGAAACCAAGAGCCCGGAGATTTGATTACAGACGTGCGTTCCTACAGCAGCACGGTCACCCGAATTTGTATGCAATTACTGATGAATGAGGTGAACTGCGATGTAACGTTTTTTTAAGGTGGTGAAAAAAAAAAAAAAAAAAAAAAACACCGCTAACGTATCATTTTCTGGCAGAACCATTTCGCCCGCGCCTTCATGAACAGTTCGGCTTCGGTTGAGATCTTTGCTCGACTGTTTGTAAAGTCTTTTGTTGTACAGATCACGTTTTTAAATCTAGATGATGTTGGGCTTATAGAGTGAGTCGGTGAAAGAGTGGAAAAAAAAAGACACAAGGAGCTGATTGAATTTGGCTCTTTGTTAGTCTGGAGAAAATGTTCCCATCGATTGTGTTCTTTTATTCCTTTGCGACCGCTTCTAATATCTGCGAGAAGACCCTGCCAGTGTGAAATCTCGCCTTGTACGGAATCGAGCACAAAGGCTGCGGCGGCTCTTTCAAAAGCGAACCGCGCACGTGTCATGATCTCGCCCGTCGTACTTCCCGATGGGTTGCTGACCGACGGCCGCCGCCGTCAAAAAGGTTTGATTGGCCAAAACTAATTGGACGGTCGGCGGAGGCCATTAACGCACGGTTCGGGGTGACTGCCTCTCAGTCCTGCGCGAACTTCAAATGTCATCCGCCTCCCAATTACAGCCTAAACAGCAATTTACCTCAGTTAATTACCCCAATTATTATTCAATGGAATGCCAAAAAGACTCCCCCTCCATTCGTTCCGTCTTTAATTTACACATCACGGCTCATAATCTGGTCAAATATGGACGTCCTGCGCCAGAGGCCACCTTCACATTTGCATATTCGCACAGGGGAGGGGAGAGGGGGGACGACGACGACGTATTGCGGAGAAACGAGTCAACGCTTCTTAATGAGTACAGAGAAAGATGAGGGATGTAATGAACGCTCTGAGCTTTATGGGTCTTAATGCATAACCACTCTTGAGACGGGGATTTACGAGGGCTCTCTCGGAGATTTACAGCCAGATTCTGATTAAAGAACAGCACAGTTGCTCATTGTGTCAAGAAAATAAGCTAAGAGGGAGCCAAGGAAAAGCTCGGGTGTCATTTTCACACCGTTTTGTCCTTCACCTTCTACTTTTTTTTTTCCATCAAAATGTACACAAAAAAGCCCAAAAAAGAAGGGGGGGAAAAAAAGCTCAATTGTGGCCCGTTGCATGTGAGTACAGAGAAAGATGAGGGATGTAATGAACGCTCTGAGCTTTATGGGTCTTAATGCATAACCACTCTTGAGACGGGGATTTACGAGGGCTCTCTCGGAGATTTACAGCCAGATTCTGATTAAAGAACAGCACAGTTGCTCATTGTGTCAAGAAAATAAGCTAAGAGGGAGCCAAGGAAAAGCTCGGGTGTCATTTTCACACCGTTTTGTCCTTCACTTTCTACTTTTTTTCCCATCAAAATGTACACAAAAAAGCCAAAAAAAGAAGAAAAAAAAAGCTCAATTGTGGCCCATTGCATGTTTTTTATTTTGTCTGCTACGTATTCTAATAAAAATTAAACGCGGCCCGCATCAGAAGATTATGAGCAAACAGAGTTGCATGTTAGAATATAGCAATTGTTAAAAACTAACAAGAATAATATAAAAAGATTCCAAGACCATGTTTTAAAAGATCCAAAAGAAGGGGATTCCAGTCAATCTATAGTCACACTGTACTTCATGTGTCAAAAAGTTTTTTTCATTAGATTTTTTTATTCGTTTTCATTGTATTATTTAAATGTATATGTATACATATCATGTTTCACACGATTTCTCTTCTAAAAGAAATTATCTGTTAAATGGTACAGGAGTCACATATTTTAGTGTAAAAACTAAAATATAATTTTCATTTGGAAATCCAAATTTTAATAATAATTACATCAATCAAACGCGGCCCGCATCAGAAGATTATGAGCAAACAGTGTTGCATGTTACAATATAGCAATTGTTAAAAACTAACGAGAATAATATAAAAAGACCATGTTTAAAAGATGCAAAAGAAGGGGATTCCGCTCACTCTATAGTCACACTGTACTTCAAGTTTTTTTCATTACATGTTTTTTTTTGTTTTTATTGTATTTGAATGTATATGTATACATATAATGGTTCACACGATTTCTCTTCTAAAAGAAATTAACTGTTAAATGGTACAGGAGTCACCTATTTTAATGTAAAAATTTAAATATTTTCATTTGGAAATCCAAATTTTAATGATAATTACATCAATATAATCTAAATTTGCTTTTGCCAGAATAGCTCAAACCTAACTATCGAATTGATTTGGGTTATTTATGGGCTAAAAAAAAAAAAAGTTCACTGGCCTTCACTGCTTTGGATGCTCAGTGCAGAAAGAAAACCGAACCAAATTTGACAAGAGCCGTCAAAAAAAAAAACTTCTGTCCGGTTTGCTGTCTGGTGACTGCGATGATCCACCGCGATACATTAAAAAGCATTGTAACGGGACTCGCTTTGGCATTGGGGGGGGGGGTCATCACTGATCATTCACCCGCGAGGGAATTGTAATTTCTAGTTTAAATGCATACAGCTTGTTGGCAGAAAGCGTATAGTCATCTCATCTCTCTCAATTTCACAACAAACTTCTCTGCAGACAAATTTGTCTTTGTATCGGGCTCGGGCCCTGATGCCGTTCCCAACAGAGGGTGGGGCTCCGTGCTCCTTTGCTGAAAGCAGTCTGCAGTGTAGCAAGAATCAACATGGTCATTATCGACATATTGGAGCACTCGTAGCCAACTTGACTCGACCCGATTGGATTGTGCGCAGAAAGAAAAGCTACACAAAAGGCATCTTAACCAGAAAAGAGATGATTCTCCTTTTGCTCGATTTCACTTGCAGGATGGAGACAGACAGGCCTCGTACTGATTACCTTCTCGCACGCTGTCTGATTGCTAGGGAGGAGGATTCAGAAGACTTTCCAAATTCCATTATTGATGTGATTCCTTATTGATCCTCCTTTCGATTCTTGTTTGGTGAGAGACTATAAAACATAAACAATATATGTTATCATTTCACCAAAGCATCCTCACGAGGGTGGCGGACGTGCTACAGCCTATCCGGCTGTAGCCTATCCGGAAGGCCGGAGCCAAAATCGAACAGTGCTAACCAGTCGACCAACGGGCAGCTTGACTAAAACATTTGCAGCAATTATTCACCTGTCATCCCAAAAATGGATGAATATGTCTATCATAACAAGACACAAGAAAAAGTCTCGAAAATCATTTTCGAGCTTGAACAGGGAGTCAGTTATTTTGATTGGAAGTCATCATTTTGTGTAGAATTCCAGGGCCTGACAAACTCTTTACCAGAAAGTGTTTCGAATGAGACCTAATGAGAACAAGGAATCCAAGACAGATGGATGATGCTGAATTGCCAAACTTGATCATTTCAAACATTTTCCATAAAAACTGGCCCATTCATCATTTTGAATGAGTTTTAATTTAGATGGCATCTCATCTTTGAAATAAGTCATCCATTGCAACTGACCCCCCCGGTGACTGGTGTGCCAAACAGCTTACTTGACGAAGACACCCATCCGTAGCGGTCACCGAGATGATCTTGGAATCACGGTCCACCTGAGTATCGCCACTCCGAGCCGAGGCTGTCACTCAGCTGTCGATTTCACGCCAGCGTCCGGCCTGAGTGTGACAAAGCCAACGTCCCATGTGGGGCCCGTTTGCGCCGGCGTGTCCTTGACCAAAGTCGAGCCAGCCGCTGAAGTGCACCGCAATTTGTCAGTCACACAGCTTTGGATTTGAAATCCCTACAAAATGGAGATTAAGAAATACGATGAGTTGATGTTGTCAGATGCGAGTACTTTTAAATCGCTGCTTTGCTTGTGTATGAATTTTTTTTTGGGGGGCGGTGGGAAGGTGGTCGTCAAGAGCATTTAGCCACCACCGCTAACAAAGAAACATATTAATCAAGCAGCTAACCTCATTTGAACTACGCTGTCCTGTCTTGCAGGTGAAGGTGATTGAGCGAGGAAAGCCGTTGAATGGAAAAGTACAGACAGGGTGCAAGTAAAGGCAGGTAAGGACCTTGGTCTACTCCTTGAAATACACTCTGGATCGGTCACCGGTTTAATCACAGGGCACATATAGATGAACATTTTTCACCTTTGCACAATTTAGTCTTGCATAAACCTACCAGGCATGTTTGTAGAATGTGGGAGGAAGTAAATATAATCCGCACGCAAGCACGTGGGGAACATGCCAACCCAGAACTTCAGAAATGTGAGACAGTCATGGTAAACACTAAACGACCGTGCTGCCCTGGATAAAATCTAAATCATATCATAAATGCGTCTTGACTGGGTAGTTTACATTCAGTCAGGGGCGTGATGGCCATCGTCTGCCGTTGACGATTGCATTTCGGCGCATGACGGCCAACGGGCACCCCACCCCCACCCCCGTCCGTCGAAAAATATTCCCGGGCTGAATTTTGGTCCCGGTGCATCCCTGCATCCACTGATTTTGGAATGCAACCCAAGCACAAAAGGTGAGGTGCCTTTGGTTGAAGGCCTTTATTTCTACGTTACTGACTACATGATAATTCTACATTACAGAAAGACATTCAGCAAGGTCTTTATTCACAATTATATGTCACTGTGTTGATTGGACTTTCATGTTTTAAAAGTCCAAATTGGAGAAGAGCAGTGCCAACAATGTGTTGAATGTGCCACGGGAATAAAGATCCTTTTTTTTTTTTTGGCTTTGGATTGACATCTCTGATGCGGTTTCGGCTACTCTAAAATAAATTCCGCGCCGGAGCTCCATCCAGCAAGCGCTCACGCCCACCGCAGGGGATGCTGCGCGTGCTCCAAGGGCGTCTTCCCGCAGAAGGTCAGCGGGAGGGGGCTGCACTGAGACAAGTGCCTCGGGGCAAACGGGGATGATGGAGGAATATGTTGCCACAACATGGAAGAATCGCCACGCCGAGATGGCCGTGATATGCGAGCGCAATGCATCCACACTCAAGGAGCAAATGTCCTCATACGCTGTACTTAAGTATTACTTGTGTGGAAGAAAAAAAAAAGAAAAAAGTCATCGACTGTATTTGCACATCATTACTACTCCCCACTGTCCACACTGTAAGATGCTGAAGTCAGTGGCATCGCATTGATTTCCATCCGCAACGGGAAGAAAAAGCAGCAGTAATGAGAAGCGATGCCCACTTTTTCTTTCCTACCATTTCCCAGCTGGAGGGCTAAATAAATGATAGCAATTAGCCAAACGTAGATGTATTCCTTTAAGCAAGGGTTTTATCCCCCAAGCTCGTTTCAACAAACTTGACACGAACGGAGCAAGCGCTTTCTTCCCTGAGATTTGTTCAACACCTTCATCTCCAACCAAGTGTGACGAGAGATCATCAGGTGCCGTGCGGGAAATGCAGAAATGATGATGTTATTTGCTACAAATAATGCCTTTTTGTTCATCCATCTATGTGTGCGACGTATAGTGACAGGCAGTTCAATTTAATGCTCTTGTACTACATTGTAGATGGCAGAAGGTCCAATTAACCTGTGTACAACTGTTGTCATTCAGTGAATAGGAAAAAAAACGATTTGTGTTCAACTAATATGCAAAGATCCCAAACCCGGATTGGGTGGGGGGAGGGGGTGTGTAGAGTAATATCCACGGGTGTTAATACGATACAAAAAAAAATGTTCACCATGTTTATCCATTTACTACTGCCAAGAGTTTACTAGTGCTATGTGTCACGCTGCCAACAAGTTAAGAAGGCCAAAATCGAAATAAACCTCACCCAGCCAAAATTTTAAAAAGTCACAAAATGTTGTTACTTGCTACTGGCTTCAACAGCAAAATGACATCCTGAAATTACGCTCAATGGCTGATTAAGGGTGCTAAAAAACAAACAAACAAAAAAAAAAAAAAAACAATTACGCTGACACTATATACTACAGCACTTGGTGCCAGCGTTTAGCGACGGTCGCGCTAGTGGCTAGCACCGCTGACGAAAGCTGTTATCAAGTTTAACATGTCCACTCTGTCGGAGTCCGATATCAATTGATATAAATTTAAAACCTTTGAGAAATTTGAAGTGTACAGTATTTGTTAAACATGACACAGGTAGCTAGCTCACTTACCGAATCATATTGCTGAGTAAAGGATCCGCTCTGTGTTCATTAAATGCTAACATTAGCCAAAAATGTCCCTACTTTTATTGCCCACTCTGTCGGATATTTTGCTATTCGCACGCCGTCGGTGGGACACACTTGAGCAGGGGGTTGCCTTCGGTGTGTCAGTCTTGCTTGAGGGCACCGCAGCAGTAGCGGAAGATCCCTTGCCGCATCTTCTCAAGCTTTGTCAAGTGTTTAACTTTTTTCTGCCTGACTTTTTTTAATGGCGATAACAAATCACATGGTCCTAAAAACACATTTTTGATTCATTTTCCTCCGTTTGCAGCGGCTCTTGAGGCTTAAAGTACTGCGTAAATCAGTCACTGTAATCTGACGCTTGCAGGACTATCGCCGCTCTCGACACCACTGTCGATAACATCTGTGTTGCTCGCGCGGATCAGGACCTTCCGTCAGATTCCCGCAAATAATCGCAGCACGGACGCCAGCCCGCCGGTGGCTCGCCGGCGGCTCCCGCGAGGGCCTTTTGCGCTGCCTGCGAGTGAAAACAGCTTAAGCGCTTTCCATTTGCCGTTCTGCAGGGGAGGAAGTGATTTGTCCTTGGGGACATCCATTCAGTCGAACGGTCAATAGCGATGCAGTCCGAGCCCCAGAGACGCTGAAACCCGCAAGGTTTTTCGAAATATGAAGCGATAGGAAGTAACGAAGCGCAAATACTTTTTAAGAGATTTTGGTTCATGTTGTCAACGACAAAAAGGCTTCATGGTGAACGCATCGCATCAACATACACATCCGCCACACATTAACCATGAGTGGATGCTTACATTTTTTTTTTTAATGTGCAGATATAAAAGCAAAAGCAAAGCAGAGATTTCAAAGTCTCCCAATGCGATCTGCTCTAGCGCTTATATATCCCGTTGAGGGCCTTTCATTAAAACGTAAGGAGCGTCCATTGTGTACCGAGAAGCGCCTGAAAGCTACGTCCCTGCAGCTTCTGTTCTCAAACACTCTTTGGATTTATCCAATACGCTTTGTCTGATATTAACATGCTCATTTTTCAAAAGTATCTCTTCCAAGCAGATGTCTCTTGTAACCACAGCAACAACTCTGTCATTCTTTTTTGTCTTAACATTGGGTGCAAAGAATCCCAGATGATTTTTTTTTTCTTTTTTCACTTTGCTTGACAAACAAGTTACAAGCAACAGACTCCTCATTAAATTAAAATTAGGATCTTGATAGTCCTTTTACAGTTTACAACAAAATTATGGAGCAATTTGTAGTTGTCTCCTGTGTGCCACCGTGCAGCTGGTAAACTACACAGAGATGCAGTACTGAAGCACGCTGTCAATGGAGCAGCAGTGAATGAAAGAAGGTCAGCAGCTCCCTCCTCGGGTTGACCCTTGTGAGGGTCCTCAAAAAGTCAAGACGCTATTCGAATTTTTTTTTTCTTTTTTACCAGGGAACTTAAGATGAGTCTATCTGCACCCCCTAGAACTCGAAGCTGGAACCCCCCCAATGGTGGTGGTGGCAGTGGGGAGATCAGACTTCCTCCTCCTCAAATCCACAATGAGTTCTTTGGTCTTGTGGATGTTAAGGTTCAAGCTATTGTCCTCACTCTAACCTCTGGACCTCATCCCTGTATGCCGTCTCATCGTCACCAGACATGAGACCAATTATGCTCATGTCATTGGTGAATTTATTGACACAGTCATGCATGTAAAGTAAGAGGACTTGGCACGCACCCTTATGGAGCGCCTGCATTGAGACTGTGGCGAGATGGCGACCCATTCTGACTCTCTGACACAGTCAAAGAGAAAGTCCTTTATCCTGCAACCCATGATGAGAGGAAGTGCAAGGTCAAGTAATTCTCTTTCGACATTGTCCTGGAGGATGGTGTTCGCGGCCGACATCGTCAACAAAGGGCAGCCTAACATGACACCGTAGCTGTTCCAGGTGGGAAATGGCAGCGTGGACTACTGGTGATCTGTTTGCTCTCCCTGCGGACTCGTGTGGGTCGACTCTGGGTCGGAGACAGGACATGGCGTGACATCTCGCCAGTTTCTCAATAATTGGGGTCAGAGGGACTGGCCGGTAGTCATCGGGGCCGCTGATAGTGGTCTTTTTGGGATATTAGTAGATGACTTCAGGCACGGTAAGATGTGGGCCTCGGACAGCAAGATCTTAGCGAAGACCCGTGCCAGCTGGACTGCACATTCCTTGAGGACTCTCCCAGTCAATCTTTCTGGACTGGCAGCCTTCTTTGGGTTTACTGATCTCAGTGTGCAGCTCACCTCGTGCTCCCGCCTTCCTTTTCACCCGATGTCGGAGCTGGGACTGCCTTCGGTCCTTCATGTCAAAGCATGCAAGCAGGTGGTTCAGCTGCTGCCCGAGTGTCTCGTCAGCTTGAGCTGTCATGGTGTTGCCGGACTTGTCGCATGCAGAGTGCTAGATTCATTTCAAAACCTAGATGGCGAGAAGTGGTCTGACACATCCACATGTGGTTGGAGGTGTGCTAATTTATAGTCAGGCATGTTGCTACAGGTTTTGCCCGGTGCATTTTCCACCTTTGCTACGCATGACGTATGCTGTAGAAAACTGGGGCAATCAGCATGATTGAAACCCTCAACGATAATGTGCACTGCATCAGGATCATAATTTTGCTGGCTGATTGTTGCTTCGTGTGACTCATTCATGGCAACAGGTGGCCCCAAACGACCGTTACCATGACAATGGTGATCCAAACAGCGAAGTAAATGCGTAATGTCTGCCTAATAGTAAATAAACAACCTTTACAAGTTACTCTTCTTGGAACACCCCCCCCCCCCATGTTGGTATGTGCCTCAACAAGTGACCCTCAAAGGTCAAAAAGGCCTTCAAAGAATAAAAAGGGGTAATCAGAGGTTACTGTCACCCCTTTACCATTCAAAAAACC